TATTAAAGTTTCCTTCTGAAGAGCTCATACTCGTGGGTCAATGTGTTCAACCTCAACCTCTATACCTCAGTAGTACCTTCATGGGTAACTAGGAGGTATCCCACATTTCTTTAGCAGTTTTGTAGTGAGAAACATGCAATAACTCATCAAGATTGAGAGCGTTAGTGATGATCATTTTTGCTTTCAAACCACGTTGCATTTTTTATTTCTCGTCTTTTGTCCAATCATTTTCACTATCTTTGTTCACCACAACACTATTAACTTTATGTATGTGAACAAATGAACATTTTTTCACATCCCTCAAAATACCATGATTCACCCCCTCAATAAAGATTCTTATCTTTTCTTTCCATAAATTATATCCTTCTCCGTTAAAGGATGATGATTTGTTTAGTGAATCATCCGAAGTCATTTCCTTCCTCCCGAGACGATTAATCTCTAACAGGAGTTAGACTTTGATGTCACTTGTTGAATAAGTAATTCCAAGCACAAAAGAGGGTGAATTTATGGTATTCAAAATCCGAGATTACTTTAAAGTTTATTACTAAAAACAACAATTTGTGTTAGTATAGTTTAAAATAGATTTATCAGCAGAAAATGGAAGTAAGGAAATGTAAAAGAAAGTAAATGTTGAATGTAAAGAAAGAAATTGTTGTGAGAGATTGCACTAGAATTTATATAGGTTCAGTCGATCTCTTTTCCTAATCCTCTCCCCAAAAAATAAACTTCTTGAGAGTTCCACTAATAATATCTTTTGAGATTTTGCAAAGAATGCCCACAAACCTTATTACAATCAACTGAGAGATTTTACAATGGTTAATCCCTCAAACAAAAAGGAGTGTTTTACACACTAAACTCATGAACCAGGAACGAGACTTTGACCGGCTAATCTCAAAAATCAAATAGAGATTTTATAGGGCAGCCTCTACATCCAACCAAAAGAGACTTCAAGAGAATCACGCTCTTGATAAAATAGTTGAACACCAGTACAACTATAACCTCACAAAAGTATTTCACTCACAATGGCACTAAGACAACTTTTAATGAAAGAAAGGATATAAGAAAGAAAGGTTTAAAAGAGAGAAGAATGATTTAAAATTTCTGATGTTTTAAATAGTGAAAAGACGACCTCCTTATATAAGAAAAAATGTAGCTCAAAGAGGAAAACAATCAATGGACTTTGTAATACTCATAATGGATTACGTGTATTCAATAATCAATTATGTAGTTTAAAAATGAAAAAATTTCAATTGTGCTATTACTAACTGACTACAAACCCTACTAATCAATTATGAGGTGAGATAATTTATTAAACATAAAGGATAATCAATTATCCATAGTGATTTTTACTTATAATTGATTATTTGTACTTGTAATCAATTAGCTCTATGGGAGAGAATTTTTTTGGTGATTTGTTAAAGAGATATGGTCCTTAAAATCATTTTGTGAGTGTGTGAAAGTTGTCATAGTAACTTATGTGTTACTCTACCTTTTTACAATACTTTGGCCTCTTAGACATTGTGCTAAGCACACGACCGACCAAACGAGTTTTCACATTTCTTCTCTTTCACAACTCTAAAGCTTCAAGATCCTTGCTACATTATCTTTGACTTTAGAACTTCATGTAATATTGAATCTGCAATCTGATGAGGCTTGAGATAACATAAGGATGAGCAACATCATCAGAGATGGTTGCAAGCTCATGGATTCTCATAATGATCTTCAAGCACCATCACTCTATCAACATATCAAATACCATCACTTGGCCAACATGTCAAACATCATCGCTTGATCAATATATCAAGCACTATAAATTGATCAACAACATATCAAATGATATCATCTGAACCAATTACGCCTTGAACAACAAGACTGGCGAAAGCTTTTCTTAAGAGCATTGTCAACATCAAAACCAAATCAACAAATAGCTCAAATGTCAAACATCATCGCTTGATCAATATATCAAGCACTATAAATTTATCAACAACATATCAAATGATATCATCTGAACCAATTACGCCTTGAACAACAAGACTGGCGAAAGCTTTTCTTAAGAGCATTGTCAACATCAAAACCAAATCAACAAATAGCTCAAGTACTTGCAAGCAAGCACATAGATCCATGTTTTTCACTTTCCTATGCGGCGTGCCCGATACAAGAGTCTGATGTGGTTTCTAAAAGATTTCTCATTTGTCATGCCACAACAAGTTTTAAGGACAACTGTTCTAGATTGACCACAAGTCCGATACGAGAAAGGCCCAATTATCATTTCATGATCATTCAGCTCAATGTATGAAGATTCAATGCAATCATGTTTTAGAGCCTGCATTGGATCCATGCCATGCCCTACTACCTACCGTTGGATACAATCTGACGGCTCCCTGAATTCCATGTTGGGAGACAAGGGACATTCTTAACCTTCCACCATATATAAGTCACCATGCGCGAAGTCTAATGTAAGATTTCAATCATAATTCACTCTATTCCTTTTGGATTCATTAACTGGCTTAGGTGTAGGAGCGCTAACTTTATAGGTCCACTCTACTGCAACTGTATCAGAGATATGCACTGCTGTATCGAGAGTCTATCTCATTAGTTCATCAACAATTTTGATTCCTGAAGGAAATAATTTCTAAACTCCTCGATAATTTTTAAAAGGTTTTCGTAGGTGTCATAATTGAAAATAGGATGATTTGTACTAATTTTAAGTGACTTTTTTACAAAGGTTCTTGTGTCTTTCCATTTATCAACATCAAGAATTGAGATTTTAGAACTGCATGTTTGTTTTTGTGGGAAGCGATACCTATTGGCTTTGTATGAGTCGTCGCAAATGTGCCTAAATATGTCATTGACATCTTTAAAGTCGTCCTTTTTTTTTTCTCTTTTTGAATACACATACTTGTCATGTTGAATTAAGTTTGATAATTGATGTATTTTTGTGAAAAACCTTTCAAAAAATATCAATAAGTACTCTTTTCTATATATATATATATATATATATATATATATATATATATATATATATATATATATATATATATATATATATATATATATATATATATATATATATATATATATATATATATATATATATATATATATATATATATATATATATATATATATATATATATATATATATATATATATATATATATAACGAAAAAAATGACATCTTAGATATTTTCTAAATCATAATCGTGAATACTACACTCAATTCTAACTATCCGTCGCACAATTTATATTTGAGGTATAATGAAAAAAATGACATTTTAGATATTTTCTAAATCATAGTCGTGAACACTCCACTCAATTCTAACTATCTGTCGCACAATTTATATATGTGGAAAATCTGAATATAAACAAATATTTACCCTTTTTAAAATAGGTTATTATTGAGTGCAATATTGCATTTATAGTTCTATCCTCATTTATACTTTAATATGTGGAAAATCTGAATATAAACAAATATTTACCCTTTTTAAAATAGGTTATTATTGAGTGCAATATTGCATTTATAGTTCTATCCTCTTTTATACTTTAATATTATCTTGTCGCTCTTTCTTTTTTCTTTTTTCTTGAATGCTTCTTTTTTCTTTTTTCTTGAATGCTGAGTTTGACCTAATCTAACTCATATATACCCATGATGTTTTAAAAATTCATACGATTTTGATCGGTCAGATCAGTTAGACCGTAAATCGAAGAGTAGAGCGATTCAATCAGATCATCAGACCATAATTTACAATTGATCCAATAAAAACAGGTATAATGTTCACTGATCAGACCAATGAACCGGTGGATTGTTTGATCCAGCAAGTTGATTTTTTTATATTTATTTTTTAACTTTCCTCCTATTTTTATTTTTCTTAAATTTTGGTATCTTGTTTTAAAATTTGATTTTATTATTATTTATAATAACTAAATAATGTTAAAATAAGAAAAACACTTATAAAATTTATATTAAGAATTTTATTTTATAATTTTTTTAATTTTACATAAAAATGAATTAAAAATCATGCGGTCCTACTAATGACCCATTAGTCTAACCAATAACCCAATAACTCAATAGTTTAACCGAGTCGATCAATTGTTTGACTATGTATACCACACCTCTTCAAGTGTAGACAAATTCTACAAAAAGAAATGTAAACATTAGATCAACAAATTTTTAGTTATAAATTAATAATTTATAACATCAATATCTTAAACATAACTTTGCAGTATAAATACATAGGTAAATAATGATAAAATGTTAAAATATTATATTTCGAATAGTTTAAGATATTTCTAAAAATGCAGAAAAAAAATCTTGCATTTTAAACAGTTATGTTTCAAATATCATTTTAAATATTTAAACTAAAATAAAATGTGCAAAAATTTCTTTTCTAAATTATATCCTTCCAAATACATTTTTCATGTCCTAAACTTTGAAATATATTCTTCATATTTCAATTACTGAGAATAAAAGACCAAATAATTATAATTTTCAAATAACTAAAATTTGAAAATAATTTAAAACTTTAATTTTATGGAGTGGGAGATACAAGGTGGTTCCTCTAAGGTTTATTTTTGTTGAGGAAATTATGAGGGCTCATTAGAAATTGGGTCTATCATTTATATTTATTAATGTGAAATATGCATCAGATCTATGATAATTAATCTCTGCAACATTCCATCTTTAATGTATGAATTTCAACCGCTAGACTATTTGAAAAAAAATCAGCAGAAAAAGCCAGTTAATTATCTCCCATCCTAATTACTAACTTATCCGCAAGGTTCAATAAAAATTCGAAGCTTTACAGAATCCTAAACACTAATTTTCTTATCCACAAGGTTGATAAAAAATTAAACAAAATACCAAAAGAATAGTTATAGGATTCAAACATTATTAACATTAAAAAATAACAAATTATCTTAATCTAATCTGCATTAACAATGCCTGTTGGATCAAACAAAAGCCTCCCTAGATGTACAAAAGCTTACCACAATAGAGGACATCAACACAAATCTTCAGCAAATATTGTATCCATCAAAAATTGAACTGCAGCCAAAATTCACAACCAAAAACGAGTTTAGTAGAACTATTACACTGCAGCTCGAACTTTGTCCAAAACAGCAATTATACTGCAGTTCCAATTATATTCACCAAGTGAAACTATCTCGAAAGTTTTCTTATTACTAATAATCAAGACAACATCATCTCTACCATACCAGAATTATTGCATACCTTCCTCAGTAAGGATATTTGGTTGATCAATCAAGAGTTGCTGTAGGGCACCAAGATCACTGGCACTGCTGTGGTTCATACAAAGCGAAGAGAGTCAAAGCCCATAATATACCATAGAATAATATTATTAAGAGCTTGAATATTATTGACAACAGACAAAAGCTTAACTATTGCACAAAAGCAACTACCCAAATCTTAACCACTTAACATAAGAAATTATGCTTAACCACCACATAAGGCAGAAGCTGCCAAAAATTAACCATCAAGAACAGAACCTAAACACATGAGACTTTAACCACTCAAGAGACCAGAAGCTAAACACATGAGGCTTAACCACTCAAAACAGAAGCAAACAATAAACCAACCAAAGTGGGATGAAAATACACCCTCTCATGCTCAAAACTGGATATCTAAAGCGTGAAAAATGCTAGCATTTAAATAACAGAGATCTTCACCAAAAGAAACACAGGTTACATTTTAATGGTAACTTGCAAGTCTTGCAATCCACTGATGTCTTCGTCGTAGCTGCTTTAAGGGATGGAGGTGAGCATGTTAGGCAGTTAGATTTTTAGTTTTTCATGCTCTGATATTGAACTGACTTTTGCGTGTTGGAGAATCTCTTGTCCTCATCCTAATTCTGCACCCCTCAAATAAATTTCTTTTCATTCCCAAAATTAAATATTAAAAGTGGGGTTTAGTCCCTACAATTGCTATTGCAAGAGCTGAGAACAAACTGAGGAAACTAAAAAAAGCTAGCCTAAAGAAAGAAGATTTCCCAAGTCTATAAGGAGCGCATTAGCACCTAGCTGATGTGGGCACAATTTCCTATATCAAAATAGGACTACTCTGTCCATATACTAGCCGATATTAAATCTTTACACGCCACCACAATTTGACATCAAGAGGAGTACAAAGTTCACAAGACTAAACAAAGTTCATAATTAGAATAAAGAACAAATTTGACCTACCTCAACGCAAGAAGCTAGCTCAGAGGAAGGAAGACTGTCAACAAAATTATAGGAGTATTTTGGGCATAAATCTAACCAATATGGAAATACGCACAATTTGACATAGTTACAATATAGCCATACAGGATGTAATGCAATATTAGAACTAAGAACAGACTTATTAGAATTGAGAACAAATTGTGCCTAAATCAACCCCCAAACACACTCCTCCTTGCCTGGGATTGGACTGTTACAGCATTAACTTTATAGAATAGGACATTTGAGGATGGCCTAACATCAAGACTAGATAAGACCCCAGCACCAACAATTGAGAACAAAATACTCAATGCTCAAAAGCTAGCTGGGACAGCGAAGATTGTCCAAATTAATATAAGGTGTGCAGCGCAAATTTAATTTTGGAATTTGGTCCTATGACATTGTTCAAAGGTTTTGGTCCCTCCATTTTCTTTAATCTGGTTTTGGGTCCCTGCTATTGAGTATCATTTCTATATTTTCCCTTATTTGGGTTTTAGACCATACGTTGTCTATATATAATACATCAAATGCAAACAGTCCCCATTTTTCATGAACGTCTATATAGTTTAACTATTTAAGATATTGATTCCTAAAGGATAAAAGCCTAAATTATATGAAACTAGCTATAGAGATCTATACCCAAGAAAAATATTATACGGGCCAAAACCCAAACGAATGAAAACTGTCAAAGGCCTAAAATCTTCCATAAACCAAAGCATAAAAGAATTCTAAGAAAATAGTCATATAAAAAGGAAGTATCCATAAATACAATTAGGACTTTTGAATGGTTGGACCATATTATATAGCATTGGCATCTTCATACCTGGGCATTAAGGCTATTGATGATATTGCTGATACAACTGATGTTTTTAATAAATACCTGTTTCAAAAAGAGCATTAACTGTTAAAAAAAGAAGAGGCAACTAGTACTACAATTAGAATGGCTTTATTTGAAGAAAAGTCATTTAAAACTATAAAGACATTTATGTTAAAAACTATTAAAGCAGAAAGTTACAAATATATTACAAAATGAAACAAAGTCTAAAGGTACTTTTTAAGTATGTTACAAAGCTATATATTGATTGGTTCTTTAAAATTACCACCTAATCACCATTGAGAAAATGTGATTTGTGAAAATGTGATTCATGTACAAAAGTTCAGGCATTAATGCATTTCTGGATAGTCTAATAGCAAAAATTAGTAGGCATCAAGAAAAGGTAGTCAATGTTGTTCCTCACTCTGAGTAGTATATTTCATGTAGAAACAAAAGGCCGTCCAAGCAATCAATAAGCCTAGGTTTGACACCAACACGCTGCTGCAGTTGTTTCATGGTTGGGCGAGAAGAACTACCTTTGACTAGTTGTCTACCGTCACGACTAATTTTCTCAAGAGATAAGACAATACGATGGAACTCTTCCCTGAAAGTTCAAATTAAAATTTAAACAAAATAGGTCAAAAAAATTAACTCATACTAATCATCTCCACTAAATATCATTAAGGTGGAAGGCACTGTGAAGCATTATTGTGATAACAAGTCAGCTATTATTGTGATAACTACTCAGTTTACACGATGTACAAGAGACAAGTAGTTTCTAAAAGAAATACTTAGTGAGGAGTAATTTCAAAAAAGTAGCTTGATGAATTGACCCATAATTTGGTAATTATTTAAAAAAGGTTATGATCAGTTTGTGAGACAGTAGTGACTTAGCTCAAAACATAAATACCTATCAATTATGAATATAATTTTAATTCGTCAACCATTCCAAAGTTGAAAAGATTGGAGATCAAAATAGAAACTTACAAAGTCCTTTTCATGGAAATCAAAATGGTATTCAAAGAACCAATCTGCTTTTCCAAAAGACCATCTTTAACACCAGCAACACAATTTAGAGTGCCATAATTGCTAGATTTTTGAAGCACCTGCTAGCAACCACATCAGTTACTTTAAGATCCCTAGTAATTTAATAACTATAACACTGTCCATATCAATTTCAAAGAAGCAAATGGGATTAAAAAAAAACTATCTACATGAAAAAGTCAAATTACCTGCAACCTATCCAAAATATGGGAAGCATTCCTAAACTGTGAAATTAGGCGAGATTGAAGATCATCCCACTGATTGATTTCTTCCCTAACTTTTAGGAATTTTGACTGAAATTTTTTCACCATCACTTCCATTTTCAAGGAGTTAAACGACCAGTCAGATGCCAACAACAAGCCTCAGATCTAATACAAAGGAAAAAGTCATGATTAGTTATGGGCTTATGTGATGGGATCAATTGGAACTAGATAATGAAAATGGTGGAATAGTGAATATTACCGAGGAAATGGAATAGTGATTACAATAAGAAATAGAAGAAAAACTCTGATAGTATAACTACCAGCCTAGCCAAATGGCTCTATCAACAGAGGCGCAACTCTGTGATCCTTTATCTTTCCTACAACAGAATAATATGATGATTACTACACTCTCCTCTCATTCCTTATATAACTAACTTATGACGTGACCCTCCCATGCAACCTCCTACGCTTTCCTTGCTGCCAGCTCAGCTTCCTTAATCTTCCCACCTTTTCTGCGATACACTCTCCACACTTTGGGCCTTTTCTCATTCTCATTAAGGCCCACTTCCACAGCATGACCAGCTACCCCATTTCTATCATTATGGCTACCGACATGGTTTTATCACTGTTCCTAAATAAAAACATTATAAGAAACTAAGAAGGTTTTGGTAAACAGAATGTAGAAAAACAGCAGAATCAAAGGCAAATAAAACAGTTTTTTTTAAAACGACCCGTCAAACTGATCACTAGTTCGAATCAGTGTTGTCAAAATATAATTCATGGCAGCACCATGGTGAATATTTTGACAACAGCCATAACCAATTTGTGAAGGATGGGGTGCCACGGTGGCTTAAAATGGCAGAATTTTTGCTTTCTTCCATGGTCTATCATCTCTTATCGATAGCACTGGTTAAAAGTGGTTAAAGAATCGGTTTGGTCCAATGAAACAAACTTGGTTACAGTTCAGTTAAACAAAAAAAACTGAATTTATGTCTAAAGTTAATTCAGCATACAACATTATTATAGGGACATTATATTCACACAGTAAAATTACATATTAAATAACTTCAGACAATAGCCACTTTGAATAGCTATTATAATGTACCCAAAGAACTAAATTATAGATTAAAAAGTAACCGAGTGTGGATTGGTAATTTATAAAAGAGGAACTCTAATGGTAAAATTTTCCACCAGGAACAACAGCTTTACTAAAATTAGAAGGTAAGACACCAACCATAATAATTGCTTTTCAACTAACGAATTTTTCTGACTCTTAACTAAAGTTACAGCAAGTATGCTTACATATGTGTTGGTCAAATTGCTGTCATCCGACCAATAGCATTAAGTTCACAAAATGTATGGAAAGGAGGACAGTATCTACACAATCCAAATCTATAATGGTTTGCAATGGTTTAAAGGAGTTAAAGTTAAAACAATGAAATTTATCTATAATGTTTTGTAATGAAATGATTCGTCTAATTCCATACACACCATTTGTGTTTAAACTTCAACATACGGTAAAATTCAGTCAAATGTTATTGCAGACTCCTACAAAAAAAAATTAAACCATATTGAAAGTGCTAAATTGTACTCATCCTCTACTTCTACACAAAACTTGCCAACATTTAGTGGGAATTAACCAACTACATTCATAAAACTCTATTCATAATTCTCTAGATCCTCGTATTGTACACTAGAATAATCAAACTCGCTTTCATGGTTCACTAAAAGCAAAGTACTTCAACTACTTAAGATGGAACAAATACAACTAAAGCATAATATAAAATGGGACAACTCTCGACTACTGGAGCAATATCAGGATACAAAAAGTGCGGCTCTATGAAAAAAAGAAAGAAACATTGTCTAAACCCATTAGTGTGATTCTCTTCTCTTAGCTCCAACAACACTCTTAATCAAACACAAAATAACACGTATGAACCTCATTGAGGCATTTTCACAATTGTGAGTGGACATATTAAACATTTCTATTTTTTCCTATAACATGAAGATTTATAACATATGAGTTCTAATGAGATGAAGAATGAATATTGGTTTTGGGAAAAGTAGAGATCAAAGAGAGATGGAGAGAGAAGAGTACCTCAGGTTGAAGAAAAATAGAACTCTAAAGGAGATTGCACGATGTAGGCGGAGTGGGGTTGACGGCGGCGGAATAGGGTTGACGGCGGCGAAATGGCTGCGTTAGTCGTTGTTGCTTAACGGAAAGAGAGTTTGCTGAATGAGAAAGAGAAAGAGTACCGTAGCTGATTTTTAAAAAAAAAAAACATAGGCCCCCTAAATACTTTATAAAAAAAAAAATATTTGAGGCTTAAAATTAGAAATTATTTTTTATTTAAGAAAGAATTCTGAAAAATAAATTTTTGTCTTTTCTTCGTCTCCTCCTAACACATTAATTTAGAGATAAATTGAGTCTTTTTATAAAAAACTTTAACAAATCAAGCATTGTTGTTGCAACTCAACTAAGTCATTTATTTCTTTCGAACTGTTTCGATTTTTGTATATGCTAGAGATCTATTGTTCCATTTCAACTCTCTCCTTCATTTGGTTACTGAACATTTCCTTCACACCCACCTTTCCCATTCAGCCTCTTCTTTCTCCTTCTTCCACAAGTATATTGTTTATCCTTTTACTATATCCTTCTTCCTCCTCTATTTTCATCTTCTTTGTCTTTCGTCTTCATCTCGATAATGTTGTATTGTGAAATATCAAAGAATCATTGTTTGTTCAAGATCAAGAAAAGAGATAACAGAAAACGAAATACAAATTGAGATTGAAGCATGTATTAGAGTAATAAGCTTGCTTATAAAGAGATAGGGAAAGTGAATATATACAAATTTTGAATACCAAAGAATGGCGGGAAAGAAAGCTAAGATTAAAACTAGATTAGTTCACTAAACTCAATTAGCTTTCTAATCCTAAAAGACTAATCTTAACAGCCTCTCTCAAGCTAAGCATGGTAGATATTGATCATGCCAAGCTTGGAAATGAACTTGTTGAAAGTAGCAATTGGTAAGGCTTTAGTGAAATAATCTGCAAGTTGTTCATGAGTTAAAATTGGAAGAAGTCGAAGCAAGCCTTGTTGAAGCTTCTCACGGACCAGGTGACAGTCAATTTTAAGTGTTTGGTGCGCTCGTGAAAAAACAAGATTTAAGACTATATGCATAGCACTTTGATTGTCAAAGTACATAACTAGTGGCTTGCAGCAAATGATTTGCAAATCTTTCAGCAAGTATGTCAACCAAATCAACTCACATGTAGCAAAGAACAAAGCTCTATATTCAGCCTTAGAGGAAGATCTTGAGATAGCTTGTTGTTTCTTCGCACGCCATGAAATGAAGGAGGATCCTAAAAAGAAGCAATAGCCAAAAATTGATTTTCGTAAATCAAGGCAGCATGCCCAATCTGCATCAGAAAAGCTAAGTATTTGCAACTCTAAATTTCTAGAGAAGAATAAGCCTCTTTCAGGACTGCTTTCTCATATATCGAATGACACAACAGACAACTTAATAATGAGTCGTGGTTGGATTGTGCAAGAATTGGCTGAGTTGTTGGGTTGCATATGTGATATCAGGCCTTGTGGTATTGAGGTATAGTAATATGCCAATTAACCTTCTGTATACTCTAATGTCTTCAAAGGATTTACCACCATGAGCATGTAATTTTATGGATGGATCAAGAGGTGCGGTGGATGGCTTTGAACCAAGTAGGCCTGATTCTTGAAGGAGGTCAAGACAGTATTTTATTTAAGATAAAGAAATACCCTCCTCTGAATGAGCTACTTCCAAGCCAATGAAGTATTTGAGCAAACCCAAATCCTTGATGTTGAACTTGTTGTCAAGACAAGCCTTAATCCTGTCAAACTCATTCATAGAATTTCCAACCAAGATTATGTCATCAACATATACAAGAATGGAAGTAAAGTTATTATTAGTATTAAGAGTAAACAATGAATAATCAGAAGCTGACTGTTTGTACCCTTGTTGAATAAGTAGAGCAGTCATTTTTTCATACCATTTGTGGCCGGCTTGCTTGAGACCATATAAACTTGCCTCAAAGACTTAGTGTTTATAGGTCGAAAGATTGTAGAATTTGCCTCATAGACATGGTTTAAATTGTTAACCTCGACACCATATCACGCACAAGCCAACGGCCTGATCAGACCGACCAATAAAACCATAATTGGTTTAATTAAGAAGCACATAGGTTAAAAGTCAAATAATTGGCATAAAGCGCTAAACCAAGTGCTATGAGCTTGTTGAAATTCCCTTAAATATTCGACCAAATCTACACCATTTTAACTTACTTATAGGCAGGATACAAAGACAAGATGGAATACCAACTAAATATTATTGGGGTATGATGTTGGATGAATTAGTAAATTTAGACAAAGAAAGGCTTGTTGCATTAAACATTCTAATAAGACAAAAAGAATGCGTGGCTAAGGCTTATAACAAAAAGGTCAAGGTGAAGACCTTCACTTTAGAGAATTTGGTTTGGAAGGTGATTCTATGAATGGGTAAGAAAGATCGAATCTTAGGCAAATGGTCTCAAACTGGTAGGGGCCATTTTGAATCATACAAGTATTTACAAATAATGCATACAAAGTCGAAGAGATATCTCCTAAAGGGAGAATCCTACGAATAAGCGATAAGTACTTGAAAAGTATAGACCTACATTGCAGGAAAAAAAAAAGGAATAAAAATCATACTTCAAATTAAAAACTGAGGTTTCTAATCCAAATTGTCAAAATGCTCTAAAAGAAACAGTTAAAGTTACAAAACAAATTGCAACAGTCAAAATACAAATTTATGACAATGTATGGTTTTCTAAATTTGTGTAATATTTGTCTTTTTTATTTTACTTTAAAAATATTTGACTTTGATTTTACTCACCATTCATTTTAGTTTTTATGGATTGTTGTAATGAATAAACAATATAAACTAAGTAAATATTAACAAAAACATATTAAATTTTTTTATAAAAAAACAAACTCCATCCGTCCTACCAGTAATCTATTTGAAATTAAAAAAAAATTCTAAAATAAATTACTCATTTCAATTTATATTTGCAAATTTATTTATGTTAATTCTATTTTTTAA